TCCCGGCCAGCCCTGCTTCCCGCCAGCCATTCTCCCCTCCCTCCCCTGGCCAGCCCCACTCCCCCCGACCTCCTCCCAGCCAGCCCCGTTCCCCTCCCAGCTGCCCCCCCATCTGAGATCAAGTGTGTCCAATATTTTTTTAAATCATCTGGTAACCCTTTTGGGGGTGCAAGTGGATCTGGTGCACATGAGGAGCCGGCTTAAAGCTGGCTTTCCATGGGTACGGGCTCCTGCCTCCCCTTTTCACTGCCTCAGATACAGAGGCAGCAAGGAGGAGGGGGATGAATGTATATAGTTGACAGGATTAGCCCAGACTTATGGGTTAGTCATGTAGTTGTCTACACATTAACATATCTAGAATTGAATGGAAATTGCAAGGGAAAAAGGAGCATTTCACAGTGCCAATGTAGTCTAGTTCACCTTCAAATGAAGGCTGTTCTTCTGGGGTGGCCTAGTTGAATTTGTCCATCTCAGTCCATTTCCAAAAAGCATGTCTGCCCTCATCATACTGCAAAGGACAAAACGTGCATGGAGAATTAACTCCATTCTATGATCTCATCCCTGCAGGTTTGCTGCCCCTTAGACTCTACAATATTAGTACCATCCCACAGAGCCAGAACACTGTCACTTTGGGGGTGGAAGTGACTTAGATGTCTAGGTTCCATGATGAAGTGATGTAGGCTTTTAGGAGCCTAAGTCCTATTGACGTGCACTGAGACTTAGGAGCCTAAGACTCTTCTAAAAAATGGGACGTAGGAACTTTTGAAAATTTTGCCCTTTGTGTTATGCATGAACATCAAAAATGCACCCATCACAAGCTATGACTGTGTAAATGTGACAGCCACCATGTGACCAACACAATAGGGATCCAACTGGGCACCTCAAAAGGAGCTATTAAAGTTCCCTTGCCAGGGCTATGAGAGAGCATATGAGGACATGTAACACACTCAGCAGTGGCATACACAAAACATTACTGCTCTCCAGCAAATTAAATCTGTTAGCACATCTCTTGTATTGTTGTCCAGCAGCTTAATTTGCATTGAATACAAATGTCTCAAACTTAGCTCATAGAGCAGGGATGGGCAACCAAGAATGGTGGGTCGGCCACGAGTGGCCCTCCTTCACCTCAGTGAGCCACAGCAGCCCATGGGCCACTGGGGTTCCACCTGGGGGCCCCCTATCTGCCCCTCCTTCCCCATGCACCTCTTGCGCACTAGGGCACCGGAGCCCCACACTTACCTGCACGTTCCACTCCATCCCAGCACTTTTGGAGTCTGTGAATCACCAGATCTGCACTGCATCACACTGCTCCTCATCCCTATCAGAGCTGGAACACCACCAATCAGCTGTTGGTGGCATTCCAACTCTGGGGGGAAGCTAGGGATGGAGTGCTCCTCCAAAAGCGCTGGGAAAGAGGGGGACAGCCAGGAAGTACAGGAGTCCAGTGCCCCAGTGTGCCAGAGGCGCGTGGGGGAGGGGAATAACCAGGGGGGCAGCAGACTGCAAGTTGCCCACCACTGCCACAGAGGCATTGCTCCGGAGTGCTTCAGAGTCCCACCCTCTCCCCTCACCCAGAACACAGACCCACCATTTGTTTAAACAGTTACACGGCAGGTTAGATGTCAATCAGGCAGCAGAAGAAAGGACCCCATTAAATTAACACACAACAGGCTTCTACTATTGCACCTAGCATGGGGTTGTATCAGCATATTTCGACAGAGGAGTGACAGCAGTCATTCCATCCCCTGTGGTTTCCCAAAGCCGCTCTTTGGGTACACTGCAGAACTGGGGAGCCACGTCAGTGTGTAGGCTGGCATGGGAGGCTACTCAGTGGGTACTGTCATTATCTTATACTGGCTGGCCCTCTGTATAAAGCCGTGTTTGCATACAAAAGCAGTGGTCGGGACAGTACAGGAGAATGGCTCCTTTAGGAGTGTTGCTGTCACTGGAGCTGGAGAGGTAGAAAGCCAATGAGACCTACGGATTTCCAGGATTAAAGATAGTATTTATTCACTACTCTTATCCAAGGGACCATCTAGGCCACATTTTATTTTTGTTCCTTAGTTAAGAAGAGCTGGAAGATGATGATTATTACTGTTGTTTTTACTCAAAACAGGTGATCTCTGCAATACATTCCTCAACTATTAAGGACTCGCATTTCTACTCACATAGGAAAACACGCTTCATTGTTCATGGATTCAGAAGCACCGGAAAATATGGCTGGGTGGCAGAGATGTGCTTGGTATGAGAGAATATCCTCCAATTTCCAACTTTAACTGCAGCCGCATTCGATCATTGGTTTTTAAATGCTAGTATCAAGTCTGCATTTTGACAACCACCTGGTGTTACTAATGGATGAGAGGTGCTAACTAATATGTAACAACTTTAATAATCATCTTGCCCTCTTCGAGAATTGGGTGTGGGAGTGAATTGGCCTGTACATTCCAGGATGGGGAAATAGATCATTTGATGAGTACCTGTTCTGTTCATTCCCTCTGCGCACCTGGCACTGACCACAGTTGGAAGACAGGATACTGCACTAGATGGATCTTTGGCCTGACCCACTATGGCTGTTGTGTTCTTATCATTGTTTGTAAAACTCACAACTTAAATTTAAAAGGAAAAAAAATCTTTATCCAAAGGTTAGTTAGTTGTTGAATAGAACCTCCAAGGGCAGGGTTTCGGGAGGGTAGGGGGGATAGCAGCCATGTACACCAGGGCACAGATTGCTTTTCATCCCATTCCCCGGACTATAAGGGAGCAAGGAAAAAGTACTTGCATGCCTCTCACTCCTGGCTGGTGAAGGGAGAGGGCAGAGGAGTAAATCACGACATGCAAGTACTTTCCCCTCACTCCCTGATACACCAAGGATGGGATGAAAAGCAAACCACGTTCTGGTGCGGATGGCTGCTACCCCACTAGCCCTCCCAAAACTCTGCCCTTGAGATTCTTCTAAAAGAATCAGATGGGTAGCCGTGTGAGTCTGAATCTTCAAGAACAAAGAGAAGTCCTGTGGTACCTTATAGACTTGGGCTGTGTCCAGACTCAGGGGTTTTTTCGAAAAAAGTAGCCTTTTTTCGAAAAAACCTCACCTGCGTCCAGACTCAAGCCGCGTTCTTTCGAAATTAAATCGAAAGAACGCGGCTTTTCTTTCGATGGCGGTAAACCTCATTTCACGAGGAAGAATGCCTTCTTTCGAAAGTTCCTCTTTCGAAAGAAGGCGTTCTTCAATGTAAATAGGGCTTCTTCGAAAGAGAGCATCCAGACTCACTGGATGCTTTCTTTCGAAAAAGCAAGCCGCTTTTTCGAAAGTTCAACGTGCAGTCTAGACGCTCTCTTTCGAAAGAGGCTTGCAGTCTAGACATAGCCTAACAGATTTATTGGAGCATGAGCTTTCTGTTAGTCTATAAGGTGCCAAGGGACTTCTCATTGTTCCAAAAGAATAACACGTGAAGGCTAAAAGCTACAGTAATACCAATGTGCTGGCCTGATATAGCACACAATTTTTTTTTTCCCTACCCAGAACTCTTAATTAGGGCAGGTTGCAAATACAGAAAATTGGGCTTTTGACAGAGTGACTTTTTGTAAAAAGTGTCAGTTTCCCACGGGTTATTTTGGGTTTTTAGAAAATAAAACTTTTGAATTAAAATGGTCAGTTTTTCAATGACAATTTGAAATTTTCCAGAGAAAAAATATTCCTACTAGCTTTACTCACAATTACTGGAATCATCATAGACATGGAGTACAGATAAACAACCCAAGATCAAAAATATGAAAAGTCAATACATTGCAGAGAAATTAACTTAAAAAATAAAAAGACCACCACATAGTATCTCTCACTGTCTCATGTTATATGGGGTGTGACCCAAATTTACCTTCATCCATTGAACACAAAAAAAACCAGGCTATAATGTGATCCATGTACCTGCTCTGTGGAATAAGAGGGTAAGAACCCCATGCACCTCTGCACCTCCTCCCCAAACAGTGGTCTAAGCATAAAGTGGTAAACAATCTGCTTTTTCTTTAGTCCATACTTAGGCCTTAGCCAGCTGATACATTCCTGCAGAAATGGCAGCTTGCCTTTGTGATTTCTTCTGGTGAACATTCTTGACTTTTGTAAACCTACAATGTAGAAGTCATTGGTCTTTAGCTTTACCTGCTGTTGTAGAAACCTCCCACTCAGATCTGAGCTCTCCTTTGCTTTTCTTCAGAACTGCAGCGTTAGCTTTAAAATCAATAGTTTTACTAAATTGTTTGCCGAGGAGATTAAATAAATAGCCAGATGTTGTATACAGCAAGAAATAAGTTTATTGTTCTGATTTGAAGTGGTCATGGTGACAAACACTGAAAAAGATCTTGATTGTGCTCTTTTATAGCTTGGATATTTGTGTCTACAGGCAGTCCCCAGGTTACGTACAAGATAGGGACTGTAGGTTTGTTCTTAAGTTGAATCTGTATGTAAGTCGGAACTGGCGTCCAGATTCAGCCGCTGCTGAAACTGATCAGTTTCAACAGTGGCTGAATCTGGACGCCAGTTCTGACTTACACACAGAATCTTGATTGTGCTCTTTTATAGCTTGGATATTTGTGTCTACAGGCAGTCCCCAGGTTACGTACAAGATAGGGACTGTAGGTTTGTTCTTAAGTTGAATCTGTATGTAAGTCGGAACTGGCGTCCAGATTCAGCCGCTGCTGAAACTGATCAGTTTCAACAGTGGCTGAATCTGGACGCCAGTTCTGACTTACACACAGATTCAACTTAAGAACCCCAGGCATCCCCAAGTCAGCTGCTGCTGAAACTGATCAGCGGCTGATTCCAGGAAGCCCAGGGCAGGGGCTTCCTGTAGAGGCCCCCGGGTTATTTTCAGCAGCTGCTGACTAGGGGACACCTGGGGCAGAGCAGCTGGGGTGCTGCTGGGTTGGTCCAGTGGCACCCAGAGCGGCGCTACGCGGGGCGAGAAACCCTGCTCCGCGTCTCCCTGGTCTGCTGGGGGGGGATAGCCCCCCCCAGCAGACCAGGGAGACACGGAGCAAAGCCGCGGAGCACGGGAGCAGCGGGACAGCCCAGACGTGCCGTGGCTGTCCTGTTGCCCTCGGGCTCCGCGGCTTTGCTCTGCTTTGCTCCCTGTCTCCCTGGTCTGCAGACCAGGGGGACGGGGAGCAAAGCGGCGGAACACGCGGGCAGCACATGGGCCCCGTTCGTAACTGCGGATCCGACATAAGTCGGATCCGCGTAACTCTGGCACTGCCTGTATAAATGTCAAAGTTTTCCTCATTTTGTGTTTCATTAGAAGTGCATACATGCTGCAGGAAAGTGCTGTCCTTTGCAAACAACACTGAACTCAAATGCTCAATTTACCCAATTGATTAATTTTGATAAGCTAAACCTGCATTTTACTGTGTGCTTTCTTAAGTGTTTTCTGTTTACACACTAGCTGCTGGTGGAAGTGGAAGATGTGAACTGCATTGCTGTGGACTGGAAAGATGGTGCAAAAGGCACATACATTAGTTCAGTGAACAACCTCCGTGTTGTTGGAGCTGAGATTGCTTATTTTATAAAGACTCTTAAGGTAAAAAAAAAAAAAGATGAATTTCAGTTATGTTTTTAAAGCTAAATTTGCATAAGCATAATGGGTTTACGTGAGTGGTGTCTTTCTGCTCTGATCTTGTTTTATGTAGCCAGAAAAGTATAATTCAAAAATTTAATGTTTTTTGAAATGGTAAACATAGCTGATAGTTGAGAATCACCAAAATTGGGATACCCACACATTCACAAAGAGTATTGACATATGCCGGTAGTACAGTAATTTGATAGAAGCGACTAATTAATTTAAAAGACCAGTAGGTGGCAATATTTCTTTACTTTCTCAACTGTATTTATATATCCTCTTCCAGGGATACACCAACATAACTCTTAAAAGCAAATAGGAAATAGCTGTTAGGAATACATATTTATGCTTGAGAGAGAGTTTCAGTCTTAATTCACTCCCAAAGCAAACAGAGGCTTGGAGCAATCCAGAGGCTTAATTAATACTGATGGATTTCTGGTTCTAATGTCCGGCTGCAGTATGTATACACTCTTAAATCCTCTAGTTCTAATGTTGTTACTTCCTGTACAACAGATCAACAGCATTATCCCAGAAGTTCCCTGTTATCAACTTTCATATACTATAAATAGGTGCCCAACTTTCACAGTAAGTCAGAAAAAACAAGCAAAATTCATTTAAAAACAAGGCCAAAACAAGCCAATTGATAAAAGAACCCTAACATTCTATGTGACTTCATTCTCTCCCTCCCTCCCACCCCCATCATGCATAAAAGAACCCCAACATTCTATGTGACTTCATTCCTTCCCCCCCACCCCCATCATGCATTCTGGGTTCTGGGACTGCAGTAGACCTGCTATGCATCCCTTAACTCTCTTTCCCCTTACTGCCCCTACTTGTCCCCTCCTCACCCACAGCTTCCTGCTTGCCCCCCTCTTACCCTACTTACCAGGAGCCAATCACAAAAAAAGAAGCAGCAAGCTTCAAGCTAAATAACACAAACCAATTGAGCCTGAAACAGGCCCCATTTCTGCAGTTTTTAACTCGTTTTTCTGTGGTTTTAGCAATGACCTGCCCTGCCTCTGCTGCCAGTCCCCAGACTCTGTCTGACACAAGAGCAGAGAATTTCTTACTTAAGAACCTAAATCAAAGTGGCTGATTTACAAAAGTGCCGACACCTGCCCACTCTCTATTGATTTTAAATAGAGTTGTTGATGCTCAGTACCTCTGTGAACTCGGCCACCTATTTATCTAAATATATACAGTTAGATGCGAAACATTAGATGTCTATGTCTAAAAGTTTTGGCCAACATGCTTAAGGCTCCACCTGGCAATACTGATTTTTGCAAACACTAGCATCACAAAGGAGTACCCTCTGATCTTGTTGACTGCTATTATTTCCAGCCTGGTGGCTTTGTTCCTATGCCTCTAGTCTTCTTCCTATGCAGTTATGAACTATCCTGCCTTCCAGGAAGAGCTCTCTCCTTTCCTTGGACAAGGAGATGCCAGCTCCTCATGAGATCTCTGTCTCCCTCTGTCCATTTGCTATTGTTGTTTTATGGAGTGTTTTTTCTCCAGACCCAGGCTTCTCCACTACAAAAATACTGCCATAGTAAAATCTCTGCATACCATTTCTACTCCCTGATTGGAGTCTTCCTCGGAGACCTTTACAAAGCTGTAAACTGATTTGTTTAACATGTAGTTTAAGCATTTCTCCTCCATCAGTTGCATAGCCTAATTCTATTGCCCAAGCTTGGGCACAAAATTGAATCCAATCCAGGCCAAATTCTT